TCTCATTTTAATTTCTTAATAACTTTCACGTACAAATTTCCTATAAATTTTCAAATAAAAAATTAAGTTGTCAAAAGATTAAACAAGTAAGGAATTAATAAACAAGAAATTTTTCTAAAGGGAAACAATTCCATTCAATCATCGTCAAGCAGAAACTTTGTTTTTAAATCCCTTTCCTGAAATTTTGTTTTTAAACCCCTTTCCCATTGAAAGATATTTCCATACTCTCACACGAATCCCACGATTAACAACAAAATTAATTAAGAAGATAAAAATAATATACACTCAAGTATATTATGCTAAAAGAGAGGAGAAGAAAGGAAAGAGTACGTATGTATGTTTGTCGACGAGATGCGCGGGGGTCGGAGAGGCAGAGGTGAAGTCGGTCGTAATCTGTGGGAGAGGACGAGGAGGCAGCCAGGCATGTCCGAAGGAAAGGAAGCTCTGCGGACCTCAGTTCCGCTCGTTCTCGTCTTCCTATCCGATTCTCTCTTTCTCTCTCCATCTTCTTCGTAAGAGTTCGTACGAGCCACTGATTCCAAGCCGAGTGTACTACGACGACCGCCGTTCGCTAGGGCGTGGGTGTGTATGCGTACGTGTGCGTTATGCGTACAACGTGCGCGCGTTGCACGCCTGTGGAAGCGACACACTCCGCTACCTCTCTTAGGCCACTTACCTTCTCCCTCCAGCCCCGTGGGACGCGAGGACGACTCGTTTGGGAGATCGAATGCGTCCAATGGGTTTGTCCGGCGATTTGGAACCGGGCCTCGAAGGAAATTTTTCACATTTTTCGGGAAGAAGATCTCAAAGACCCTCGATGATTTGACTATTATTAATATAACGCTGACTAATAATCGGGCCAAATTCTTAGTATTTTTAAGGTATATTAAGGATAAAAGAGGCAAAGACTTTTTTTTTCATTAAAGACCAAGAATTTGTAACATCAAATGTAATACAGGTGAGTTATCTCGCGATCCAATATCGTCAACGAGATATCTCATACTTATAACATGGGAATTAAAAGTGTTTTTTTTTTATATAAATGTATCAAAAATTAAAAAATGTTAAATAAAAGTTAATCATTATTTTAGATTCTTTTCCTCTTTTATGCAATTTGTTGGTGATGATTAAAAGTTACTTCGCTATTTAATTGGCCAATGATAGCGAGATGATTTTATATAAAGATTTATTGATTATGAACAAAAGTGAGAAAAATTAAAAAGGTTAAAAATTCTTGAATATGATCCTTTGCTCCTAAAGAATTACGAAAAAAGTAATTTAATATGCCAGCAACAGAATTAATAAGTTGTATTATAAATATTTGAGATTTTTCCGAACGCGTGCGTATAATTTAAAAAACTCAAATTTAAAGAACGACACAAGAACAAGAGACGGTTTATTTCTTATGCATCCTATTTAAGAAACATTCTGAAGATATGACATACGCGTCGTCTCTTCGCGAGAGACTTTTAAACGGCTCGTGTTACGCTTCGGCAAATCGTTGCTTAGCGTTCAACCGCGATCTCGTCCGTGTCCGAAGCGGGAAAATGTTAATTTGCATAAATGATCGAGGGATCTTCCCGCATCCCGGAAAACGGGCGAACGCTACGTGACACTAATGTCGCCTTTCGCATAGTAATCGAGGAAGCAATAGTTTCCTGGAACGCGGTCTTCTCCTTAATCGGTAATTCGACTCCCGGTAATACGACACACTTGCCCAAGATATTCAGCGCGTGCATTTACGTCGTAAAAGTATAATTGGATATTTTAATTGGCACGCAAATTACGTATTTAATGTCTATTTATAAAAAAATCATAATCGGCAATATTTGAACCATTCAAAGAATAACGCGCTGAAATATTCGACGGTGTCATAAGATAACGTGTTCAAAAATTTATCTATATAACTTTAATATTAAAGGTTATCAAAAAGCCTGAAATTAGAAACTGTAGATAATATAAAAAAATCTATATGTTAATATTACAAAGTTTGGCAAGAATATGATCTTCCAATAAGATTATTCCTAGACCTTTCAATATTCAAGTGTGATTGGATTATCGCTCCCTCATCTCGCGCGTCTGATCTCATGTCTAGTCTCCTTTCGCCATCCCCGGTATCTCGTCCCTATCTCTTCACCCTTTCCGTGTGGGCAGTCCACTTACGCGCGTTTCCATGTTCATGTAAGTCGCGGAGATGAGAAAAAGAGAGAGAGAGAGAGAGAGAGAAAGAGAAAGAGAAAGAGAGAGAGAGAGAGAGAGAGAGAGAGAGAGAGAGAGAGAGAGATCCCGGACGCCTGCATCGCCGAAGAATGCCGTGTAATGATGCTGCACATCCGGGACGACGGTTGGAATACTCTTCTCCGCGCTCCCCCGCGCTCCTTGCCTCGTTGCCGCCGTCATCGTCGGCGTTCTCCACTCTCCGTCCTTTCTACCTTGTATATCCTTCTCGGCTTCCGAGATGGCTTCTGTGGCGTGGCACAAGCCGCGCGGCCTGAGCGGCGAGAGGTGCACGTGGTGGCGTAATCGCTCTCGAGAAGAGGCTGCTCTTCCTTCGGCCGCGATGCATTGCCGAGGGGCGAGAGGTAAAGAAAAAAAAAGAGAGAGAGAGGAAAAGACCGGATTCCAGTAAAGGTCTCGTCATCACTTTTCGACACACAATCGGCGGGATGCACGCGTCCGTTCCGATTACCATGGATCGAAAACGCCGATATAAATCGTATAGAATGAAAAGAATTTATAGTTAATTTAATATCCTTTTTTAGCTTTATAAATTATATATTATTCTTCTATTCTTTATAATTATGTTCGTTTTTAAACTGTAGTCTTGTCTTTGATGCAGATACGTAGGAGAGAAATTTCTTCGATCAAATATTCAGTGGATTCTCGGTCTGACAGTTTTTGCAGTTCCTGATAATTAAACAGGAACATTTTGATTTATGATATAAATAACTTGTAGATGAATAAATATAATTTTGCTGTATCTTGCGCAAATTTCATATCTTGCTTTCTGGACACAAAATTCTTTAAATTCGATTCGAACTTTGGTCTCATTTTCCTTGTATTTGATAATTTAAGAGCGATCGTTTATTTCTTTCGTATTAAGATGTGTCTAGTGACATTCTTTGACATTCTTCGTCCGGTTGTCACTGATAAAATGAGCAAGAAAAATTCATACGAGACTCATCGGTCGAAATGCAAAACTTCAGAATTGATGTGTCTGGCACTTATTTGAATCTACATCAAACAGAATTGTCTGGGAAGTGGTTCCGTCCAAAATGCAAATATTTACAGATATAAATTCTATCGTGAGTTGCATTACTGATTTTATATGGAAATTTTATATCCACCAAAAACATACCCAAGTGTTCATCGAATAGAATATTACCGAATGTTTTCATGTTTACTTTGTAACACGAAATCGCATCGAGATAATAATCGTAAAATATCGAAGTCATAAAGCACAGCTGACACTGATTATGGTTATGAAAAAATCATCATCAAAATTTATGAAAATTATTATTCAAAAATTGAATAAACACTAATTAAGATAGAAATTATTTTTTAAAGAAGATGTCTCCGTAATCTTTAAATTAGTGTACAACTCGTGAAATAATTATTTTTGTTTGCCTGCCAAAAAAAAATAATTTTCCTTCATAAGAAATTGAATGCTTGTAGACCCTTCTAATTAAGTCGCTATTAGCCGTTCTCTTCCAAGATTCTTGCAATAATTACATTCGACATTCGGAGGGATATCCGTTGTATATTGTTAGGATATAACGATGTTCGAACAGTGGGATGAAAAATGACGCGGGAGAAGATGCGGCGGGGTTAGGAGAGTAAGTTGGGGTAGTCGTCAAAGTTGCTATAGGCCGTAACAAAAGCCGACAGGAGAGAGGAGAAACTTCAACGAGGGTCGTGAGGGCGAAGCTCGCTCGCTTGCTTGCCTGCCTGACTCTTTTTCCTGTCGTCCCATCTCCCACTTGTTGCCTAACTTCGTCTGGTTCTCGTCTTACGTGACGGGCTTTTGAAAATCGAATCGGCCGCAGACGCGAGGAAATTTTCGTGGCATCCCCTTCATCGGGAACGCATAAGCGTCTTTTCGCGTCGTAAGAATGTTAGAATGAAGGAGGATGCTCGAAAAATGAGTTCTCGATATAAATAAAGATCTATAAGTTAATGATTCCCCTGATCGATAATAATATTTTGTCTAACAAGTTATAATTTTCCTCAAAAATCATGAAAGTCAAATAACAAAAATCCAGAAGAAATCTAGAAAGCTTAGCACTTGGCATAATCCGAGAAAAATTATCATACGTTGCACCGTATCAATGTTTGAATGTATTAATATTTTAATGTATTAATATTTTACAAGCATTTAAAAGATAAATGGAGTTTTAAACGCGTAAACAGATAACATAATCCTGTTTTGCGTTTGATTGCAAATTAAGCTGTATCTTAATATAGATATAACTTGTCATTAAATAAATGATATTAATGCAAACTTAGCATCGTAATCCCTTGAAAAATATCGATACGAAATTTGTCAAAAATATCAGTGGTTAAGAAGATATTCGATAATACGTATCGGTGATACGTACGAAGAGTCTGCAAAGATAATAAATATTGTGCAAAATATTTGTATCTGAATTTGTAATTGCGACATTTTAGAGGTATCGATATCTCTTGTTTGGTGTCCGTCTGAAATCTTCAAAAGACGGAAAATAATCCAAATTAATGGAATTACAGAGAGATATTACGTTCGGCAAATCATCGTATGTCGAATAGGCGACACTTAGCAAGTTTCCTTTACTTAATAACAAGTGTGAAATAATGACACGCGCGCGTGACAATTTGTTAATTCCACATCCGGATACATTGATGAATTGCTTGATAATGTTATGCAAACACGTGCAAAATTTCCGCGGAACTATACGACTGACACTGAAAACCGATTGCGAGAAATGAGAGAGACACATAAGCAGATTCGACGAATTACTCACCGTCATGATAAAGCCGGGAAGGAAGAAACATGAACTTCGATCGATGATGAGGAGGAACTTTTTGCCACAGCCGGTTTGATTAAACGGAACGTCCGAGACCTATAAAAAATTAATATTAATAAGCAATTATTAATAGCGAGATAAAAATATCTCACAAGAGAATTCCAGAAAGCTTTCCCGAAAGCTTTCTGGAATTCTCTTGTGAGGTTACTCATTTTTCGTCCTCTCTTAAAATATAAAAACTTAATTAATTAAACTATAAAAAATTAATATTAATAAGTAATTATTAATAACGAGATAAAAATACGGAAAGTTTTTTGGAAAGCTTTCTGCAATTCTCTCGTGAGATTACTCATTTTTCGTTCTCTCTTAAATTATAAAAAATTAATATTAATAAGCAATTATTAATAGCGAGATAAAAATACGGAAAGTTTTTTGGAAAGCTTTCTGGAATTCTCTCGTGAGGTTATTCATCTTTCATCCTCTCTTAAAGTAGAGATTAACAATGTCGCGCGAATTAATTGGTATCATTGTGGGAATAAGATATCGCGACAAACTTCGAATATTAAATCAACAGCTGACAAATGTTTTAAATCATGGGACGTGGCTTCTTCCTCGAAGGAAATTCCGGCCACAATTGACGACGAATCGTCTGACGATCAATATAAGCGAGACACGAATTAAATGTATATTCGGTCGCGAATAGAGACTGGCTATTGGGCCGATCGGCGCGCGTAGGAATTTAATTTGCGCGACGATACCGCCGCTTAATTTCCGCCGTCCAAAATTCCGAGACGCTCAGAAACGCGCAAATAGATTGGCGATAGTCCCTTACCATGGGTGATTCTAAATACTGCTTAGACGACAACGACCACGACATTGATGAGGCCGTGCCAGTTATTTTTGTTATTTGCTCTTTCATCGATTCTCAGAAAGGATTGAACATTATTGCCATTAAAAATTAGAGCTGCTAAAATGAACTGATAAATCAATTCATGAATACGTCAATGATAAAGGAAACGACTTGCGATTAATTTGCAGATATTTCACAGCTTGTTAAGCTCAGAAAAACTTTTTAAACATTGCAAACATAAGTTTCATAGAATAATAATATGAAAAAAAACACTAATAATGTATTATTTTAGTAATAAATTTAAAAATAATATAATAAATTCCAAAAGTAATGGGAGAAAGAGTGAAGAAAGGAAATAATGAATAAATAAGAGATGAAAAAAATACAATATTCGACTATTTTAGTATGTATGACACGTGTCGCGACTTAATCTAATCGACTGATGAACATTTACTTGCAAGCGCATGACAAAATAAAGTAAACGTTTTAACGATATACAACACTTAGTCAAATGCGCGTTGCGCGCGTATGATGTTTCCTTTTTTCCCCTTTTTTCATCTCGATTACACAAATTAGCTGTCTCGAGGCGCGCTGCCGCTGTCGAGAACGATTCGCAGTTAGGCTAATCGACGCGCTCGTAGACTATGTTCTTGTTGGCTCGACAGCCATAATAAGCCCATGATTACCACAGTGATAATATACCACGTGTTTCCCCCGATTACTTACAACGTCGCTCTTTTCATTCTTTTTTCTCGTTCATCTCTCACTCTCCCTTCTCATCCTGTTTTGCTTTGTTTTTATTTGCTTCTCTTTTAAATAGTCAGTTAGCCTTGAGTCACAAAAAAATTAATCAAAATCTTCGAAGAAAAAGAGAGAAAGATAGACATTTAAATTATTTAGTTTTGTGTGGTAAGGAAGTATAATAAAATTTTAATTATAACAGCACATCAGTTTACTATGTTTATTTTTACACAAAATTATTTTTTACATTATTTACTTTTAATTTTTATATCCTTCTTTCTTTTCTTATTTTATATTTTTTATGACCATCAAAATATTAATTTATGCTTATTTTTCTCTATTAATAGGCAATGTATAATTTATATTTTTCCCTTATTATTTGCGCTTAATTGTTCTGAGCGAAATTTCAATTTCCGAAACAATTCAAGTATCTTTACTTTACATCTCTATCGGTTCTCTCAACTTCCTCTACTTCTCCTCTATCACATTCCTTTTTTAGCGATGGCGCCGTGACGTGCCGGTGCAATAAATTGCATATCGTCCTCATTAGGCTCGCTTTCCACCGTTTCTCGTTCGCGATGCTCGCTTTTACCGCACGATTATTACTGGGATTAAGGCAGATTCTCGGACATGATATACCCCGTGAAAATAATGTTCTTGACGTTTCCAGCGCGGAAACGTTATTTCCTAACTTATTGGGGCGCAATGTTGTACAACATTCGATCGTTATCGTGGATCACTATGTACTACGTTTAAGTGACACCAGAAGCCATTCCAAATATTAATTTCGCGCTTGCCTAATTGGAACGGGAACATGGACTCGATTAAACGAATTTGCTGCTTCGCGGATTCGCATTTAAATCCTTTTTACCTAATTTATTTTCGAAAATAGTTTATGACTTACTCATTCAACTTGATTTATCGAGATAAAATCTGATAATTTTTTTATCTCTGATTTAATGCAGATTTATTCGAGCATTTAATAGAAGATTTATTTAAATATTTTTATTGTGCATGCTTTTATAAATGTGTACAATAGAGCATAATTAATATTATAACGAATAAGTATTATTGTAAATAATATATGGAAAGAAAAAAATGCTTTCCAATATTAAAACTAATTTTTTTGATTGTCATGAGCTACACTTGTCTTGTTTATAACTAACTAAGATTTTATTACCAAAGTTTCTCTATATTTATGTATTTTATTAGTTTATTACGCGAATTTCTATTCTATCTTAAATAATAGAAACTTTAACTAAACTTTTGGATTATATATAATCTATAAAATATGATTCATTCTTTCTTTTAATGATTTTCAAACGTTATTTTAGCGCTTGTATGACTTGTGATAGTTTCTACAATAAAATTACATGCAAAAAATATGTTGTCTTATCGGTATTGAATGGACTTTAGAAACTACAGAAAATTTTCACATATTAAATGTTGTTTAATAATTAAATAAATATGTCTTTGTTTTAAATATTTTTTAAAATTTTATATCATATAATTTAAATATTATTAAATATTCATTTTTATCAGCTATAAAAATTGACATAGTTTTGTACTATTATAAAGTAGAATATTATACAATATATGTGTGTATGTGTGCATGTATGAAGGAAATATGACGTAAAATGTTCTTCATTCTCTTTTCTCTCTCTCTTTTTCTTTCTCACTCGTGATTCTCATATATTATTAAGTACTGCGGAAAATAAACGGCTTTGTTAGAAACATCTCGACCTGCGCCTGACTTGTTGCGTAATTATACTCCGCGGTTTTACTTATTTCCCGCTGCTTTGCGCACACGTGGGCGTTTTTGCGCGTATCGGAAAAGCGCTGGAGGGTTTCGCGTTATTCTGCGAATAAAATAATCGAGCTCGCGATTTTATATTTTAAAAAAGATATACACCCTATGCGCGCGTGTGTGTGTGTGTGTGTGAATAATACGTTAAATAATCATACGTTAAATAATCATATGTTAAATAATGGGACACAAATATAATATTTAATTCGCCAAATTTTGACAATTGCGAACTTAAAGCGAAATCTAGGCGGATTCAAAATGTTGCGGAAACGATCTTCGGAGACCAATATCGCACCCGGAATTAAAGGAATCCGGTAGCACCGGATCGCGTCTCAGTTCGATGAAGGTAATATCCCACGAGAGTAGCTGGCCGCCTTCGCTCGATGTGCTTTTCTCTCGAGCACCAGTATGTCCGGTCAACGCGGAATTGGGTTACCTGCCTGCCTGCCTGCCTGCCTGGCTGTCGCGGCTATGCCCGGAGATTGCCATAACTCCGGCTATTACCGTAATCGATTATATAAGTGCGTTTACGCGCCCGCGAGCGAACCGCGCCATTCGCCACGGTGTTTGAAGCGCGTGTGAACGCGCCTTAAGGCGGAGGAGACACTTTCTCTGCTGTGTATAATCTCGGTTTTATATTATCAGCACCGATAGCGCAAACCGAGCATGTATCAAAATTACGTAAACCGTATACACGGGAAAAATTACGGTGTAAAATGTGCAAGTGAGAAGGAATTATGTAGCCATCCATATTTTTCAATCGGCTTTCTTTGACTATTCTTTAATACTGTGAATCAGTGTGTTTCACAAGAGATATTTACGCATAATACTGTGAATAAATGTGTTTCACAAGAGATATTTACGCATTTTTTATCGTGAAAGAACCACAATAAATGATAGCTAAATTATTTTTCGTTTATTTAAAAATAAATAATTAAATCCTTTATATCAACGAAAGATGGTTGCGAATTTAAATGAGGAAACGATGCAAGACCCGCGAAAGCGCGTGCATCAGGTTGTAAAATCAATGTAGGTCTACTATAAATCGCGGATCTCCCCGCGATCTCTTCCGCGATCGGTGGGAGAATATCCCGATTAACACGAGACACGGTAAATCAGCGTACGCCATCATAAATCCTCGTGATATATTTCCACCGGAAATTGTATCGATCCGACTTTTAGACTTTAGTGAATTCTCACAAAACGTGTATGCAAAAATTTCAGAACAATATTACTTTTATTAAAGCTTTCATCCTCATTAATTCGCATAAGATTGCGTGACGATTCTAGTATCTAAAAATAATCTAGGAATAATCAATGGAAATAATCATTTTTTGATAAATCGATGACAATGAAAAGATCTTAATTACATGTAAAATTATAAATTATTATCCTTGCCATTGTTTCCTAAAGAAACAACGTAAAGAAATATCATTAAAGTTTCTACTATGACGTTTATAAATCCTTAAAAGAATAGAATAATATTCAATACAAAATAAAAATATTCTTTTTAATTCCGATATATGTAATTAATTTTTAAATTATACAAACACTATTTTTTACTTACAATTTTAATTTTCATAAAAATGTCGCGAGAGAGCAATTTAACGTAAAAATCTCTCGTATCAGAGGTAAAAATGGCTAACAAAAATGGCACGTCAATTTCGCGGGTCAGTTTTTCAGTCTCTCTCACGCTTC